CAAGGGCAGAATTTGGGTCATCAATTGACTCGACTAGTTCAAATGGAATTTTAGCAAGATCATTAATAAAATTAGAATCATCAAAGTTTTTGTAATTTCTGTATAGAATTTCCAAGTGGTTGTGTTTTGTGATTTTTCTCTTGCAGTTTCCAATGATAAAAATAATCGGAAAATGGTCACTAATACCATATTGAGGAACTTTAATTTCAACAATATTATCCGGTGTGTTTGTATATAGATGGTCAATGACAGTAGAAGAATTTTTAAAACAGCGTGTAGGGGCAGTAATTAATTGATGTAATCCCTGCATATTGATTATGTTTTCCCATCGTTTTGGAACAGTAGTTGAATAATCTATATTAAAATCTCCTATTACATAAATAGATTGACCAGTATTTATGGAATTTAAACTAGTTTCAAAATCATCAAACCAACCTGTACACGAAGAAGGTGGTCTATATACAAGACATAATAAAAATGATTTTTCATATTCTGGATGGAGTTCAATCCAAATGGATTCGATATTTTGATGTTCATAATCAAGTTTTCTTGAATATTTTAGATCTGAATTTACATATAAGATAAGGCCTCCGCCACTTTTGCTCAGTCGATCTTTTCTGATCAGATCATAACCAAAGATATTAATAAATTTATCGTCAATTTCAGAATGTAAAAACGTTTCAGAAAAGCCCATGACATTAAAATTTTCATTATCTTGCAAAATTAAATCCCTTACTTCATCAATTTTACCGAAAAGTCTATTTATATTTAAATGACCTATTTTAAAACCTTTACGTTTGGTTGAAAATAAAGTGGAAACAGAGGGATAATTGATGGATTGTAATGAATCGAGGGTTACATCAGAGTCAATAAACTGACTGCTGAGGTCGCCTTTATGCATCGTTGGATCATTACTTTTATGATCTTCAAAAATCAGACTATTATTATCAGTAGCAACAGGATTATCGAAGGACGTTTCAGTATCATTAGTTGTGCTATTACTTGAAAGAGTTACATTAGTGAAACAGTGGAAGTTATCAATCAATGGTTCAATAGAATAATCAAAAATATTAGTGGTGTTGGTCATATATTGCATAAAATTATTATAATCAATTAAATCAGAATCATACGTAGATTTTCCGGCTTCAAAAACATTGCCTTTATCCTAGTACCTATCTGTACAATATTGCCTATGAAATGCTTTACAATAATTCGCTTTATGACCCTCAATATTACACCGGTAACATGTAACCTTGGTACCAATTTTACACGTGTCTTTTGTATGACCCGAAATACCACAGAAGAAACAGGGTTTAATGAAACTATTGTTAATGTCTAGTCTTTCCTTGATAATGTCTACATATTCTTCATAAATATGTAGTAGTGCAGATGTACCTCTGTCAGACAAGTGAATATTGTCTTTCCAAATATGTCTGTAGTCAGATTTTATTGAATCAAACACTCGAATTAGATTTACTGCCTTTTGAACACAAAACTCACGAAGGACATTGTTATAAAATTGAATGTTATGATCGATATTTTGTCCTGCCTGGTCATGTCTTGGTGTAGCCTCACAGATGAAAATATGTGCATTTGGCCTTTTCTTTCTAATAATGTCCACTGTTCTTTTCAGGTCATATGTAATATCAGATAAGGACCGTAGCTCTGATACGTCATTCCCTCCAGCCTGAATGATAATTTTGTCATACATGCTGAGATCCATGCGCTGTAGATTTTTGACAATGTTGAAAATCTTGGCACCATTAATTGACAGCACTTTAACATTTGATTTTAGCCCATTTAATCCAGCCTATTATGAACGATAATCGGGTTGAGTGGTAGTTATACACTCAGTAGAATATGTTAATTTTAGAATTTTGAATATTATTCACCATATCTTGATGTCCAATTGGCCATATTCCTGGTCAGACAATTTTGGACGTTCGGAAAATAGCGTCGGACATGTCCGGAATATACAGGCGAAATCCCATCACTGGATAAACGGCTTTGTTCTAGAAAATTCTTATGACACGTGGACAAAATGTGATTGACTAAGAATGGACAGCTTCATGCCATTGATAAGATTCCTACATATCAATTAACTTTGATTGTTCTACTACCAGACACTCATCATTAATTATCAACACAATACTCAGTATAATCTGTTGACGACTACATATACAACTCTATAACACCAATCATGAGATTATGTGGCTTCTATATTCTGTACTGGCCGTACAATTTTAGTGAAATAGTGGAGGTCGATCGTGGCCATGTTTGAAAATTGGGTTTTGAAAAAAAAAGGCTATTTTTCCGGCATGCAAAATGACCAATGGTTCAGACCAAGTTATGGTCATTTTCCATAGCCCACGGTACCGACTGGCATATACGGCCAACGTGGAACCCATGTTGTGGACCCTCTAGAGGCCACAATTTTTGTCCGATTTGGATGATATATAAAAGATCAAAAGATCTTTTATGCAAAATGTGAAATATGTACCAAATTTGTGGACCCTCCAGAGATGAGTATTTTTGTCTGATTCTGATGAAACTTTAAATATGTGTTCAGGATCAAAAGTTTTTGGATGAGTTAGGATTTGGTACGCATTAGACCTTTCATGCTAGAGTTACAGTCCCTGCTTTTTTATGTAAAATGTGAAATATGTATGAAGTCCGGCATCCACAATTGCTTGTGGACGCTCGAGAGGCTAAAGTTAATATCCAATTGATTTTAAATTTATGATTATCTGATGATTACTTAATGAGTTGTTACTCTTAATCAGACTTTAGTGTTTTATGAATGTTTGATTACCGAAAAAAGTAAAAATATGCGACAACTTTTGTTGAGTGCCTGGACGATTAACCTGCTGTGGGTGTATGTTTAATTACCTGGCAACCTATCTTTCAGTATTTTGGTTAAGAATGAATAGAATTGGAACGAGTTCGATTTTGGTGCGAATCAAAACTCTGATTTTTATACGCCCACATTTTCATGTGGACATATATTGCCGTCGCCCCTGTCCCTCCGTCCACAATTGTTTGTGGACACTCTAGAGGTCATTATTCATATCCGATTTCAATGAAACTTAAAATATAGGTTTATCTCCCTAAGATCTTGGTTCCTTTCGATATTGGCATGTACTAAAAATCTCGTTTTTAGCTTGTGGACCCTATAGAGGTCACAATTTTTATCCGATTTTGTTGAAACTTGAAATGTAGGTTTATAAGCCAAAGATCTAGGTTCCTTTCGATATTCGCACATATCAGACTGTAACTTGCTGAATTATGGCCCCTGATTTACGAAAAAATCGTGTTTTTAGCGTGTGGACCATATAGAGGTCATAATTTTTATCCGATTTAAAAAAACGTTCAAATATATCACCGTTACCTCCTAAGGATGGTTGACTGTGAATTTCGTAAAAATCGAACCAAAACTGACAGACAAAATGGCCGCCCCTCGTATTCAAATAGCGTAAAAATATGATATATCAAGGTTGTGGACTCTCTAGAGGTCACAATTTTCTTCTGATTTTGATGAAACTTGAAATGTAAGTTTATAACCAAAGATCTCGGTTCTTTTCGATATTCACACATATCGGACCCTAACTTCCTGAATTATGGCTCCTGATTGTACGGAAAATCGCGTTTTTATTTTGTGGACCCTAATAAAGGTTATAATTTTTATCCGATTTCTAAACCATTTGAATATATCACAGTTACACCCTAAGGATGGTTGAATTCGAATTTCGTAATACATAGTAGTTCACAGGATATATATGTCGTATTGGTAAATGTTTGCGGGGAAAATTTTGGCAGGCTTTGTAACGCGGCCTGCAGACTGGAGTCCAGCCATGGAACTATTTAATTGTTTTTTAGCAAGTTTACATTTTTATTGAAAGTGTGATTACTTTCGATCATTTTCAGCTTATTTTCATGATACAAGAATGACCGCGCATTCACTTTCAGTGCAAATGAACCCATTTGACCTTTGACCCCAAATAACTCAAAAACGCCCCACTCGGCATCGTATTCTACGCAAAATTTTACTCTAGAAAAGTTGGGTCTGGTTTTGTGCCCATTTGATGGACCCCCCGCGCTGAGCCTCCAGACTATATATGAATATTATGGATCCTCTAGAGGTTACAATGTTCTTCTGATTTTGATAAAACTTGAAATATAAGTTTGTAACCCCAAGATCTTGGTTCCTTTCGATATTCGCTCATATCGGACCGTAACTTCCTGAATTATGGCCCCTGATTGTACGAAAAATCATGATTTTGGCTTGTGATCCCTCTAGAGGTCACAATTATTATCCAATTTAAAAAAATGTTTGAATATATCACCGTTTCACCGTAATTTTGATTGATTTCGGATTTTAAAAAACGTTTAAATATATCACCATTCCACCATAATGATTTAAATGAATGTTGAATTCGAATTTTGGGATAATCGAAATGAAACTGCCCTGCAAAATGTCCGCTCTTTGTACACAAAATGTGTAAAAGTATGCAATGCGAAGGTTGTGGACCCGATTTTGATGAAACTTAAAACATATCTTTAGATCCCAAAAATCTCAGTCCCTTTTGATATTTGTGCATTTCAGATCATAACTTTCAGGATTATTGCCCCTGATTGTACAAAAAATCCTGTTTGTTTTTAGCTTGTTCTCTATCCATCTCTTGCAAAATGTGGGCGTATCCTGCCTGGCAGTCGCTGTTTTTTCTAATTCGATGTGAAGCACTGGGACAATGACAGGATGAGCCCTGTTGATTTTCCCAGTTCCTCATCCATCTCTTTCAAAATTAAGCCTTTTAATATTCAGTATTCTGCAACCTTCTGTAAAAGCTTGTGAACACGATAGAGATTCAATTTTTGGAAGGCGATCTTTATCAAATTTACTCAACATCTGTCTGTGGCTATTGTTTTTTTCGAGACATAGCTGCTGTGTGGGCGTATTTCTACGCATGACTATCTTACATTGATATTGTTGATATTTTCAGTAAAAAGCCCATCCCAGAAAATGTTGTAGAAGGCAAGTATATAGAGAGATTTTCTCGTCCTTTCAAATAAATACAATATTAATGAGTCTTTTTATGGTTTTACAAATCTCATATAATTTTGAAAACTGGTACATAATAATATATTAGAATGGCACCAAGCAGGTTTGGTCAGCTAAAGAAAGACTTTACACATGCACTAAATATTACTCAATAAAGGCACTTTACAGATCTTCTGTTTTGTCATCAATGTGGTTATTAGGGTGTTTCACTTTTCACTTTTTTTGGAATTTCTAAGGTTTCTACCCGTCACCAAAGTCCACTCGGGGTCAAACTTACACCGTAATATTTTCAGAATTTTCTTGCCAAAAATGGCCGCCGGCAGCCATTTTTGGCAAGAAAATTCTGAAAATATTACGATGTAAGTTTGACCCCAAGTGGACTTCGGTGACAGGTAGAAACCTTAGAAATTCTAAAAAAAGTGAAAAGTGAAACACCCTAGTGGTTATGGTTTCAGCCCCACATGCCAAACCTGGCAGACATGCTCATTACAAAATCATCAAAAAAAGATTTACGAAAACAGTTACTTCCAAAATGACCTATAGTTGTTCTGTTGACAAGATGTTTAATCAATTTGGTTCATTTTTTGACTAAAATATATGTTTTTGTTTTCTTTTTCAACAGAGAAAAAACATACTCCTATGTATTTGAATCATGCCTTTACAAGTTATGAAAATTTTCCAAATAATGGCATTGAGACATGGAGTCCTTATAGAGCTGGTGATGACATTACCCGTATTTCACTTCCCCAGTCACAGGTATGTATACTTTGAATGTTAGTCTAATGTAAAGTACATTGTGTATATGTGACCATCTCTGGCTAAACAAGACACATTGTCACAGGCCTCTTATTTCAGATATGACATGAATATTTTTACAAATTTTTCAGTATCTAAAATTTGCTGGTTTTGGTTGGTTGTTTTGTTTTAGTAGTTTTTCTTGAAATTAATGTTATGATGTACAGTAAACCTCGCATAAGTCGGATCTTCGCTCAACTCGGAAAATCGTTTGGACCCTTTGATCCTGCATGGTTTTCTTATTAAATTTCTGTGCCTAAGTCGGATTTCCTAAGTAGGATCTTTGCTTAACTCGGATCAAAATGTTTGGTGCATTTAATCTAATTCTGGCTTTCTTCCTTCACCTAAGTCAGATCGGCAGTATGTTCACAACATGCTGTTAAAAATACGGCCTAGCTGAAGCCATTGAAATCCATATACAGGGCAGCGCACAAATTTGCGCAACTCGGCCATATAAGACGAAACGAAATTGGAATTTTTGAAAAAATTTGATTGTAATTGACTGAAGTTTCTCAGTTTTTCAACGATTTTAATTTTTCCCCACCCCAGCTTACCTAAATTTCGTTTCGTCTTATATGGCCAAGCCACATCTAGACTACAATGTTTAGCAGAAGGGGACAGATTTTTAACAGCATGTTGTGTTGCACATACCAACTCTAGCGAGATAAGCAAGATCATATTTTCTCCCTAAAATGTTCCTTTACATTGTTCAGACGTTTACAGAGACTGATGCACGACTGTTTAACAGTAAAAAGTTGCCCAATAAAATTGACTGGGAACCGATTTTATTTCGATAAGGATTCAATAGGACGGTTCCTGAACATACAGGGCAGGGTACCACTTCAAAATTTTCACTGCAGGTCATTTTTGATAACCCGATAAATTCATATTTCATGTTTTTTATTCATGGTAGGGTATTGTGAATTCACGTGTCTATACCACTTTGTCTGCATGGGGTACACAAAAAAATGTATTATATTGGACTATTAGTAAGGCTTATGATAATTATTTATTAATTAAATATTCCGTTTTGGCTACTTAAATAAGGAAATAGCTGAATTGCCAGTAGAAAAAACATTTCAGTAGCTCACACGTAATTACCATGGCACATGCTCTATAGAAAACACACTGACCTGGATAATTTTGAGTTGTAATACAATAACTTTGAAATGAAGATACATATAGAGAATCTCCTACCAGTCTTTTTTGATATCAAAAAATCTCAACACAAGTTGATAAAGTAACAAAAGAACATTCTCTGCCGAGTTTTTTTTTACTTTATCAATGAGTGTTGATATTTTTTGATATCAAAAAAGACGAGTAGGAGATTTTATTTATCACTCAATCCCTTCTTACATGCACAAATAGATAAATATAATTCTTTGCTGTAGATTTCACTTTTACTGAACATTACGGCGTAGTGACACATCATTTTTTGACAGCAATTCAGCCATTCCAAAGTCATTTATATTGACCCAGTGTTTCCATCAAGGTCAATTGAATAACAATAGTTCATTTTTATACTTGACGAAACCTGAAATATAAGTTTATCCCCAAAAGATCTCGGCAGCTTTCGATATTGGCATGTATCGGATCAAAACTTCATGGATTATGGCCCCTGATTGTACGAAAAATCATGTTTTTAGCTTGTGGACCCGATAGAGTTCACAATTTTTAGCCGATTTTTTTGAAACTTGGAATGTAAGTTTATAACCCAAAGATCTCGGTTTCTTTCGATATTCGCGCATATCGGACCATAACTTCCTGAATTATGGCCCCTGATTGTACGAAAAATCACGTTTTTAGCTTGTGGACCCTATAGAAGTCATAATTTTTATCCGATTTAAAAACCCGTATTATTATATCACCGTTACACCCTAAGGACGAGTGAATTTGAATTCCGTGAAAATCGACCCAAAATTGACAGACAAAATGGCCGCCATTCGTTCTCAAATAGCGTAAGAATATGGTATATCAAGGTTGTGGACCCTATAGAGGTCACAATTTTTATCCGATTTTGTTGAAACTTGAAATATAAGTTTTTAACCCAAAGATTTCATTTCCTTTCGATATTCACGCATATCGGACCATAACTTCCTGAATTATGGCCCCTGATTGTACGAAAAATCACGTTTTTAGCTTGTGGACCCTATAGAAGTCATAATTTTTATCTGATTTTAAAAACCGTATTATTATATCACCGTTACACCCTAAGGACGACTGACTTCGAATTTCGTGAAAATCAGCCCAAAATTGACAGACAAAATGTCCGCCGTTCGTTCTCAAATAGCGTAAAAATATGGTATATCAAGGTTGTGGAACCTATAGAGGTCACAATTTTTATCTGATTTTGTTGAAACTTGAAATGTAAGTTTATAACAAAAAGATCTCAGTTCCTTTCGATATTCGCGCATATTGAATTTTAATTTCCTGAATTATGGCCCTTGATAGTAGGAAAAATCACTTTCTTGTTATCTTCTTCTCAATCAATCTCTCGAAAATGTGGGCGTATCCTGCCTGGTAGCCGCTGGTTATCCAATTTTGTTGAAAATTGAAATGTAAGTTTATAACCCAAAGATCTGGATTCCTTTCGATATTTGCGCATATCGGACCGTAACTTCCTGAATTATGGCCTCTGATTGTACGAATAATCGCGTTTTTAGCTTGTGGACCCTATAGAGGTCATAATTTTTATCCGATTTAAAAAAACTTATTATTATTTCACCGTTACACCCTAAGGAAGGTTGAGTTCGAATTTCGGGAAAATCGGCCCAAAATTGACAGACATAATGGCCGCCGTTCGTTCCCAAATAGCGTAAAAATATGGTATATCAAGGTTGTTGACCCTATAGAGGTCACAATTTTTATCCGATTTTGTTGAAACTTGAAATGTAAGTTTATAACCCAAAGATCTTGGTTCCTTTCGATATTTGCGCATATCAGACTGTAACTTCCTGAATTATGGCCCCTGATTGTACGAAAAATCGCGTTTTTAGCTTGTGGATCCTATAGAGGTCATAATTTTTATCCGATTAGAAAAAAACGTATTATTATTTCACCGTTACACCCTAAGGAATGTTGAGTTCAAATTTCGTGAAAATCGGCCCAAAATTGACAGACAAAATGGCCGCCGTTCGTTCTCAAATAGCTTAAAAATATGGTACATCAAGGTTGTGGACCCTAGAGAGGTCACAATTTTTATACGCCCACATTTTCATGTGGACGTATTATGCCGTCGCCCCTGTCCGTCCGTCCATCCACAATTTGTTTGTGGACACTCTACAAGTCACAATTCTTATCCGATTTTGATGAAACTTGAAATATAGGTTTATCTCCAAAAGATCTCGGCTGCTTTCGATATTGGCATGTATCGGATTGAAACTTCATGAATTATGGCCCCTGTTTGTACGAAAAATTACGTTTTTATACGCCCACATTTTCATGTGGACGTATTATGCCGTCGCCCCTGTCAGTCCGGACGTCCACAATTGTTTGTGGACTCTCTACAGGTCACAATTCTTATCCGATTTCGCCGAAACTTGAAATATAGGTTTATCCCCAAAAGATCTCGGCTGCTTTCGATATTGGCATGTATCGGATCGAAACTTCATGGATTATGGCCCCTGTTTGTACGAAAAATCACGTTTTTAGCTTGTGGACCCTATAGAGGTCACAATTTTTATCCGATTTTGTTGAAGCTTGAAATTTATGTATACCCCAAATATCTCGGGTTTTTTTTTATATTTGCGGACATCGGACAGTAACTTCCTGAATTATGGCCCCTGATTGTACGAAAAATCACGTTTTTAGCTTGTGGACCCTTTAGAGGTCATAATTTTTATTCAATTTAAAAAAACCTATTATTATATCACCGTTACACCCTAAGGACACCTGAGTACGAATTTCATGAAAATCGGCCCAAAACTGACAGACAAAATGGACGCCCTTCGTTCTCAAATAATGTAAAAATATGGTATATCAAGGTTGTGGACCCTATAGAGGTCACAATTTTAATCCGATTTTGTTGAAACTTAAAATGTAAGTTTAAAACCCAAAGATCTCGGATCCTTTCGATATTCGCGCATATCGGACCATAACTTCCTGAATTATGGCCCCTGATTGTACGAAAATTTTTTATCTGATTTAAAAAAACGTAGCATTATATCACTGTTACACCCTAAGGACAGCTGAGTTTGAATTTCGTGAAAATCGGCCCAAAATTGACAGACAAAATGGCCGCCGTTCGTTCTCAAATAGCGTAAAAATATGGTATTAGACCGGGCGCCTGCTTCAGTTAATCATACTAAGAGAGGGAAATTGTCTGATAGGGCATAATTGTTTGTCAATGCCTACTAGTCAAACATCTGGATTGCTGCCGGGAATTAACCTGCCCATTTAGGTGGTGTGTGGGCCTAAAGGGAGCCCATTTTCACTTTTAATCATACTTTGGTAGGGATGGACAATTTTGATAATATTTAATATATAGATAATACTGAGTCGAAAAACACCATTGACAGCAACTTTTTGTTGACAGTGACCTTGGACAGCAGAGGTCAAGTGCTGTCCAAAATTCATTTATTCATACTAAGTGAGGGATGGCTAAAACTTTTTGAATATGATTCATTCGACGGTTCCAAACATTCCTACATCATTGCCAGCAATTTCACACTGACCGGAAGTGGCGACAGTGACAGTTAAATACCACAACATGGCATCAGGTATGAGGCATCAGATATAATCATACATTGAGAGGGATGGCTGATTTTTTTACACAATGTTAAAATATGAATATACACTACAAAAATACAAATGACAGCAATTTTACACTGACTGGAAGTGTCGCCAGTGATGATTACGTAATAGGCCCCATCCTCAGATATAATACATTGAGAGGGATGGCTGATTTTTTTACACAATGTTTAAGTATGTATATACACTACAAAAATACAAATGACAGCAAT